CCTTGAAATTAATCCAGTCAAGCCGGAAGTCGAGCCTCTGAAAAGGCTCTTTGATCATTGATTAGGGTAACTAATGATTAATTTCATTATTATTTTTACAATTACTTCACACGTTCCCAGAGCTCCTGACAATGCAATTCAGTTTTATTTGCATAGCGCCAAATCATAAAATACATGATCTCAAGGCACTTCACAGGGTCACATCGACAAACTGAATTGGAGTCTGGGGAAGTTAAAAATGATGAAAGTTTTGCATTTTGCTTGATAAATAAAGTAAATGATTTTCTGTAATAAAATACAATAAATTGGCATTGACTAATTGCTTACTGAACTGAACTGTCTTAGCGGATCTACAATTTCAATAAAAATTGCCAAAACTGTGTTAAGTTCAATTAACTTTTCCACTGCTCCCCTTCATTTTTATTCTTGTAATTCCTCTGCAAATACATTTGCATAACCACGATCATCAAAAATATCTAATGTCAGGTGTCTAGCTTGCAATCACTTAATATCATACATTCAGAGGCTGCAACTCAGTGCATACATATCTGTGTGTGATGAGGATTAAACTGACTCACTGTTCAACATGGTCACCTGAGGCAGAGAAAACAGAATTAACAATATTTCAGTTCAACCTCAGGCCCAACAGCCCGTAATAACAACTGCTTTAATTCAACAGAAGAGTCATTTCCACTTGTATCTGCAACATCCCAATCAGGTTGGTCCTGCTGTGCAGTACCAGCCCATCACATGCACACAAAAAGACAGACGACCAGTCAACGCGTTTGCTTCTTTTATTCTCTACAAACAGACCTATTGTCTATTGTTGTTTAGCAAGCAGGCTATTTAGTCAATCTTCCTCAAACATTTTCAGCTCTCTTCATTCTTTTAAGTGTTGTTTTGGAACAGGAAAGCAAGCTGGGAGAAGAAAAAAAGTTGCCTGGCAGCTTATTATGCAGCCAGATGTTAGCCAATGTAGCAATGATTGCAGGACGCATTGTTTGATCCATTTTTCCTGACAAAATGTCACTCACAGCTCATCCTGAGCCAACACGGGCCATCTCAACTGGCTCCGCCTGCCAGCCAGTCACACAGAAAGCATGTGAAAGTGGGCGGCAAAAGAACAAATAACATTGTGTCCAGCTGCCCACCTTGCCAGCAATGGAAAAACATTGGTGTGTGTGTGTGTGTGTGTGTGTGTGTGTGTGTTGCAAGTCAGGGCACTGGTGGGGTCTGACAGGCTCGCTACAAACTAATTCATGCTGCTTACTTTGAGACATAAGAGGACAAATTTACACCAAACACCAGACTATAAAAACGTGATTTCTTGTGTGATAAAAACAATTGGGTGTTTTTATCCAAGTAAGCACAAGCTTAAATTGCACTGACTGCACAGGTCAGGCAAAACAACAGGAAAATTATCTCAAGTTATAACAAATTATCCCATCTACCTCCCCATCTTTCCATCAGTTACAGTTGTTAAGTGAATAGTCTGTTCAGCTGTGGGTCCGCATCACAGTTCAGCTTTAATCACTTCTGTGCAAACAGACTGAGATGGTTGTCAGTATAGGAAAATAAGCCACAACTGATTCTGCCACTGTAACAGAAGAAATGTTCCACGATCAGTGCTATACCAAATACCAAAACTGTTATGATTTGTATGCTTATCTTGGGCCATTAATTTAGTTGCATTAGTTGCATGAATGACAATTATCAATGGTTTTATCTTTTTTGGGAAGTAACCCAACACTACTGCTTCAGAGGGGAACAGCGGAAATGGATCACCTCGACAAATGAGAACAATCAATCACCAGTGATGCTGACTGTTCGTGTCCAAGCCCTTTGGCTTGTGTACTTTACTGCTTTCCTTGTTAGCTCATCCACCCACCTCGCTGTACTTTCTCTCTGCCTCATGACAGGAGAAATGTGTGCAGCCTTACTGTCGCTGAGAAGCAGGATTTGCATGTACCGCCTGCCACACTGCAGAGAGTTACAATAAAACCTCTGGTGGCGTCACCGCGTACTTTGACATGTTGGAACGTGTGGTGGATCCCTGAGCACAGAGGAAGACTTAATAACATGTTTGTCAGGGGAGGAGCTTCGCCTGTAACAAACGGCACTTAACTGGACTCAACTGGGCTCAGTCCAGATACTCTGGGGTGTTGAGTAATGTAGCTCAATGGACAAAATGGACAACTGGAACACACTACAAGGACAAACTCTAACAAAGAGAGTTTCACAATGGAGCAAGTAAAGTAATAACCTGACTGCTGTCAAATGTCCCCTTTTAATCATTGTCATTTTTAACTTGCCAGCTGCATTTTTCTTTCGTTTGCTGAAAAGATAGAGATGGGGCATGTCCATACAGCAGCAGATAAAGCCTCAAACTTTGGGGGATCCTTGTGGCTCCATTAAATAACATGTGAACTATGCAGTGTTCTCTTTTCCAATGTTAACTGAAGCCTTTGTCACATGACATCTCACTGCCTCCTCCCTCAGTTTTTCCTGTCTATCTCTCTACTGTCAACACCAAGTAAAGACAACAATGCCAAAAAAATCCTAAGCGTTGCTGTCTTTTTCCCCTCTTGTATTACTCAACATGGTAAATGTGCAACAGTCAGCGTGATGGAAAACTCTGCCCCTGACAAAGTGCTCCTGTCTTTGACCTTACGGACTTGCCCCTCACACACACCACAAGGACAAACCCATTCCCACACTCATTATATCCACTTCTCTCTTGATATTCCTGCGGGAGGCATTTGCTCACTTTTGCGCAATAACTGGCACAGTGAGCGTGAATACACCGCAGGAATTTGCCCTTGGTTCCCTCGTCTCACTGCGGCCTGCACAGCTCAAGCTTGGCAGTGGGACATGTCCCCAGCTTGTGCTCTTCCCAATCAACCAAACACCTATAAGGATCCACTGATGAGTGCAGATTCAGGAATGCAGAGGAATGGACCTCACCCCAGGTTTGCACAACAAGCCCTACTCTGTTAATGATTGGCAGGTTGAATTCTCTTTTTAAAGGAAACTTTGACCCGTGTGATTTCTAGACAAATATGCAGAGTGTCCACACAGTTCGCTAACTGGCACGAGGTACCAACGGAAGAGTCGACCTGCCAGGTTTGATGGTAATCAACGGCAGGAATGCCTGATGTTGACGGCTAAAATGCTGAGTGGCCTAATAAAAATGCACAATTCAATGCACGGCATGCTGTCACACCACTAGAAAGTATGTCAGTCATCTGACTAGTTAGTGAATAAGATGCGTAGCATGGTTATCACTGCACACACACCCTCATCATTCCACAGTTAAGTAATGGCTCTTTGAATTGCTATTCGTTATACTTCCTCTCCACTCCCTTCTGAGAAAATAGAAGGTAAAAAACTGACGAGTGGTTTAGTGTTGTATAACAGGGCCGTGTAGTCATGAGGGTATGTGTGATGTAAATGTCATCATCAGGATTACGTGTCAGTCCATTTCCAATTTGGAAGATATAAGAGCTATATATTTTAAGAGATTCCTTCTAGCAGGTATAACTGTTCAGTATGAACACTGGGTAAAAAGCTAGAAAGGTCACCTTGGTCTGGTAAATATTAGTGGACGGCTTTCATTGCCATCCTAGGAGAAAACTGCACAGGTAGTGAAGTATCTCTATGCACATTAATATCAATCACAGCTTAAAAAAACATCTGAAGCAGGAGGAAGAATTAGGGGATGAGGAGAAGATGGATGGAGAGTTGATGAAGATGGTCGAGGGAAAGCAGAATAGTGTTATCTGGTTTAAGTCTGATTTAAGCAGAATATTACTGCAGCTGGTTAAAATGTGCAGCACAGCAAGTGGGCGTTTACTTCTGTGCAGTGAAATGAGTGTGGCTGCAGAAACTTGTATGTTCCAGGGCTGTGGTAAGAATATGAGAATATGTGATTGTCACACCAGATATAACAGTAGTCTGCATATACAATGGGTTTGCTGACATAGCATTGCTCATGATAGCCGTCTTGTTTAGTTTCAAGATCTCGGACTTGTACACTGGTTTTGGTGTTACATGACTTTTCTCTTCCACTGACCTGTCAGACCAGCACAGTCACAGAACCCCTGATTTACAAATGAATCTGTTAGCATGCTATACTCTCACTTACTCTCTCTGTAATGCTTCAAATACACTTAAGGTTTGAAAAAGTTGCCAACCATGTCAAAAATTTCTCCAGCAGATCATGGGTTTGAACTCCTGGTTTTTTCGACCTGCCAAGATTTGAACCTTGTGAAAACAATCAGTAACTCCTTTCAGTTTGATACAAATGATTAAATGTGGACATAATGAACCACAGCTGCTTTAAAGTTAAATGAACTATATATTGGCCTTGAACACAAGGTATCGGTCAGACTTTCCAGTAGTGAGCAGCAGCAGTAACTCGCCTATCCTCCGCCAGTCTTATCGGCCTTCAACCAGCCAGTCAAGCAGGCAGACAAGTGGGACAGGGCGCTTGATAACGCCCTAAACCCGTCAAAAACACCGTTTGACGCACTGTTTGATATTATCTGCACAATGACAATTTTGATTTTTTGCAACAATGTGGCGCCCTATTTCCGCTCGGGGAGGGAAAAAAGTGCCGGGAAAAAATACCTTTGACAGAGTGAAAGCAGCAGCTAATGTTAGACACGGGCTTGGCTCTGCACACACACCCCAAGACTTTTTCATTCAGTGAATTAGAGAGGAGGTAATCAGCATTTAATCAGTGAAATGAAACGGCTTGACATTGAGGAGAGCCTTCGGACGAGCTGAGAGGAGAGCCAGGCTGGGAGGAAATATGGATGACATGAAGTGGGGCATAGGGTGCAGCTGCGGGGTTTATAGAGCAAAACCAAGGCCCGTACTCGGTCTCTGACCTCCACTCCCCATCCCATCCCTCCCCTGCCATTTTCTTTCTGCCCGCCGCCGCCTCCTCTTAGCCCGGCTCGACTCGGCCCAGCTGGGCCCGACTTTGGTGGCCTTACCTTCCTCTGCTGTTTCTCCCAGGCCGGGTCCAGCAGCAGGTCCCGGTCCCAGTCATTCTCCTGCTCCATGTAGGTCTGCACCCCGCCTGCCGAGGATTGGTTATTGGCAGCGTGATAATCTACCATGTCAGCAAAAGAAACCTGAGTACGCCACAGAGATACTGTCAAGGGAAATGAACCTACAAAAATAAAAAATAAAAATGAAAAAAGCAACGACGGCCCAGGTCAGAGAGGTGGGCTAGGGAGCGATACACGACCGAGGAAAGTGTCCTTCTTTACTCGCCGCTTCCAGCCGTGACTATGTTTTTTAATGTGATGAATACCCGGTGTGTGCAGTCAGAAAATCCTCGCTGCTGCTGTGAGAAGAAAAGCTTTCCCTCAGAACGGTGTGGCTGCTGGGAGGAACCAGCCGCTCTGACAAGCTCGACGCACCGAGGAGCGACGCTTCCGGTGAGACCCCTAAAGGTAAAAAAGTAATTCATGTGCATGTTTTAACTTTATTGACCACATCACAACTGACCTCCACAAAACACATCTGTAGACATTTTTGTGTTTAGCCTTTGATTAAATTTTCTCTATATTGTTGTTTTTGTTGTTATTGTATGTTTGTTCCACCGGTTTTCACCCTTAATGCAGTTGTTTTTTGTTGGTTTGTCTCACATTAATTTCCCACAGTCTTTGACCAAAACATTTTTATTTAACCATACATAAAACAAAAAATAAAAATATATTTCATTAGTTAATGAATAGTCCTTATACTTCCCCATCCATAATAGCAATTTATATGGGTTCATATTTTATTATCAATTTTACAAAAGCTTTACTTAATAGTTAGTATAAAGTTCAAAATTCAATTTGAGATTTCTTTTTCAAATACGTTTTTCTGTAAATCCTCTGCCTTTAGCGTTGGGAGGTTTTATTTTGAAGGCATCATCACCTATTTCCTGGTATGAATCTGTGTATCTCTTTTAATCTCCAGCAGCTTCCATAGGCCCAGACATCTCATGAATATTCATGTCTATTTGAATGTGAGCTGCTGAAACAATGAAACATTATCAATCTGAAATATTGAAACGGTGAAAAACTGAAAACAATAAAAGTGTTTGATCATCTCTTGGTAGGTTCCTACACCTTTTAGTGTCGCTGTTTTTGGAATTGTTTTGATTGAAGGTTGGGCAAGTTTTAAAGTATTACAAAATTATGAAAGTTTCTGATTCAAGATTTTTTTTAAATAAATATATTTGATACAAATTTTTATGTTGGAGTCAAACTCACTCTGATATCTTCCTTAAAGGGGAAGCTATCAAATCACTTATACTTCAAATCACAACTAACCAGTTTGCAAAGTATGCTTCCGCCAGCTTGGATTTAATTTTCCTGCTGCTCCAGTCAGCCACTGGTTTCCATTCATTTCTTGCCAATATGAAAACTCTTAATTGCATCAATGGGTCAGGTCATTAGTCAAAAGTTAATACTGGTTGTATTGAGAAGCTTTCAGGTGTGGTTTTTGAATAACAGTGCAACCAGGTATTTAGGCTCAGAAACCATGCCCTGAAGTGAGAGTATTGGTTTCAACAAGAACTTCATCAACTTAAGAAAGTAGAATAAAATTATGTGTATTTAACCAGCACATGGAAGAATCATAATTCTTCATGACTGTGTCACTTTGGTTAAAAGGGAGGTACAACCAGTGGTTCTCAGGGTCGTGACCTTCCTGAGCATCACAAGATAATGTTGCGTAATTGGACAGGAAATGGAAATTTTATATGATATAAATTATTTTGTTCTGGGTTATTCTCACTTTTCTTTCCTTATACAATATCAAATAGTGTCAAGTGGCCCTGCGTCCTCTGATAGTGAAAAAAATGAAACAACCTTAAGAGAGAAAATCAATCTTTAGATGATTCGTGTGCAGCCTGTAACCATCAAAGGGTCATGATTCAAACCATTTAAGAACCACTGACCCAAAGAACTGACATCATAAAAAATGAAAGCCTGAACTGCAGTGTCAACCATTACATCTGCTGTACAGCAGCTCAGGCTGGTTTGGAGAGTGACTGTCCTGCCTGCAGGAGCCACCTACAGAAGTAGGTCATCCTCAGGCTGTCCTGGTTGATTAGCGTCACCACAGCCCAGAGCAGCATATAGACTGTAGCAAGACCATGCTTCAGCTTTGATGCTGTCATGTGATGCCATATAGTGCAACTCTGCAACTAACAGCTCTGTGATTGGTCAAAACAGGTCTGAGTCACAATTACAGTCTGGTCTGGACTCATTAGCAGGAACAAGCCACTTATGAATGGACTGTTTTAATTTTTCTTTTTTTTACAGAGGGGTTGAACAAAGGGAAACTGAGTCTCAAATGTAGCTAGTGATGTTTACACAGGGGGTGATGATATGAAGGCTGAAGCATATTCTCATGACTATTAACTCCAGTTTGCACATATTGTACCATATCACATTTGGTCATAATCCTACAAAAAAAGAGTTTGTTCACCCAAATTATAAAAATTATATTACCTAACTGTAAAGCTGAATCTATCCTTGTCATCAGTTTTCATGAAAACAAACCTCTTCTGAAGAAATAGTCCCTATGAAAACTGTTGCTAGTTAATTTTATCTAGTGCAACAGGGACACCACTTCTTGAAATAGATGCTGCTGTGTAAAATATTTAAGTGTCATGTAACAAAGCCGTGAGCACTAAAGTCAGTCCTCCTCTGTACTGCAGAGGCTTGACTTTGGAGAGGATCTTTTTGAGGAACATTTAGAGCAACCAAAAGTTCTTTTAATGTCCATACGGGCATATGAACTTGGTTTCAAGACATACTTGAAAAAAATATGAACCTATCTTTTTACAATTATAGTTTGTTGTTTTTTTGGATTATGAAATGGTTTTGGTCTTGATTTATCTCATGTTTCTGTGAAACCACCCACTGGTTGAGCCCACACAGCCTGTTATGTTTTAAATGTATTGTGAAGATGGCTTTTATTTTCATATGAACATGTGGTGGTGGTAGACAAGAGCAAAAGAAAGACAAAAACGAAACAAGAAAATTATCAATATTCATTTCAATAAAGCAATCTCAGAGGTGAAAGAGACAGGAAGAGAGACAGGGTGGGGCTGATGTATGACTACCACATGCTAGCCTAAAAGTCAGTTTGAACCAACACAGCAATCAGTGCAACAGGATATTGAACACACACACACACACACACACACACACACACACACACACACACACACAGCCTCTGGTATGTGTATCTCTGACTGTTCTCGCTTTAAAGAATGATGCTGGAAGACAGATATTTACACATACCAGACAAAGAACAGCAAAGAACAGAGGATCATTTCTCAAAGTATCCCCTGTGGTCGGGGGTCCCTCACTGCAGAGACAGACCCTGCAGAGAAGTTGCAGAGGGAACCTCTACAACCAATCTAGTAGATCTAACTTTTCCATCATGGCCTGGTCAGAAGGAAAAGGCCACATCATGAGGGATTGCTGCAAAGTGAAACAGAATATACAGGACCAAAGAAACTAATAAAACTGAAAAATTAACACACAGTAGCATCAGAAATGTTTGTGATATTCCTGTAAATATCTCTGAGGTCAGAGGAAGTCGTCCTTATTCATGACAGACCTCATCATTTTTTGAAGTAGTTCATACACAACCAGACCTGCAAAAATGGGTCATCTGGTTTTATTTTAAATAAATATAATAATAATATTTTTTTAATTATTATGATTATGACATACCTATACCTTCTTATACATTTGCATATCCTGTTGGACATTCTCTATGCTCCTAAAATGGAATTAATTTTAATACACAATTTAACAAAATATGTACATACAAAAAAATTATATAATAAAGCCAAAGGAAAAGGCACAGAAACCTAAAAATACTGAGATGAAGAAAACTGGAGAACCACCTTACAGACTTTGACTTGACTTTGACTCAATATTCTTTATTCAAATTGAATTATGCTCAAACAAAGTCCTACATTTTGTCAGAACAATCATGTATATGACATCCTACAGTAGAAAAAAATCACTGTTTAAATGACAGCATGTTGGGAAGAACTGTTTTTCACTTCAGCTTTAAGGCATCACAATAATAAAGAAGGACATAATACAGGATAATTCTGAATGATTAATGGAATAAATGATAAACTGCTTTGTATGGATATAATTATTTGAAGCCATGATTATGGGACCATTGATAAGAGTAAAGAAATAACGTCAGAGGTCAATAAATCATTCACTGAATCACTGAGGTGACATTTGCTGAAGTGTCACCATGACAGTGAATCATAAACTTCTGTTTTCGTCACAGCAGCTCATCTGCATTCCATATTTAACCCCAGATGTTTCCATGACTGAAGAGAGTTCTTATTACTGTTTGACAATATGATGACACCATACAAGAGGGGGATTAATGACACAAGATCTCTTAGTACAAAGCCTGTTTTTAGTTTGCTACATGTTTCTGTCACATATATGAAATAAACACTACATATTAAGATCAAGCGGGAAAAACAGAAGAGCAGAAAACACTAAATTAAGCAAATCCTGCTGAATCCGACTGAGTGGACCAGGTCAGGTCAGTTGTACATGGTCATGTGGAGCCACTGGAACCAATGAGAAAACATTTAGTTGAATTCATCTGCTTTAATGACAACCCTTTATTTCAATAAACAGGACTTTATTTTCATGTTTGAAAGGTTTAATAAAGAACGTGCCAAACTGAGATGTATCAGCTGAAACATTCATATCATAAATATATAATAAATATATAAATACGTCCTTGTCAGTGCCATACATATGTATATCTGTGTTCATACCTGTCTATAGCTGACAGTTACAGTTCCCATTCCCACCATGTCGTACGCTTGAAATTTGTCTGCAAAACAGGACAAAAACAATGTACAAATCAGACACAGTTCAACTAAGATGGCCAATAAATGTTTCTATTTTATTCTAGTTGTAGGACGAGGTGGATGGCGTTTACAGTGTCAGGACAGTTTGCATTAGTTTCTGTAGACTGAGTTGACTTTCAGAAGCTTTTCTAAACTTTTTCTGAACGCTCATTATACTGTCCTGTCCTGCATGGCAGACACCACCCATCTGGCCATGATATACGCCAAAACAAATTATGTAAATTTTTTCACATCACTGTTGCCAGGTCAAACCATAATGATAATTATGGCATCTCATTTTAACTTTGTAGATAAAAATGTACGGCAGTTTAAATGTATAAATGTCAGATAGTCAGTGACTCTTACTTTTAGTTTTATAATGTAGTAAAAGCCAGGAAGGTTGTTACATTCTGATGAAAGCACATAATAAAATAAACTGAACCAACTGAAACACATCCCACTGTCAGTGTTTGTTTGTTTTGTTTTTTTTACAGTGAGACAGATAAATTTGCATCTTAAAGTTGAAGTAAAACACTTTTATACTGCTTGCTGAGCCACTTTGTTCACATGTGTTGTATTAGTGTATCATGAGATTAGCTGAGCAAGATCTGGCTCTGTGTGTTTACTCATACAGCTGACTGTCTATTATTCATCGGTCTTTCACGTTAGCATTTAGTTGACAAAAAGTTAAAATTTATCATATTCCTCATAGTTTCTACCTTCAAAGGTTAATGTTTATTTAGTTACAGTTTGATTGACTGTAAAATGTACATCAGCAATACTTTTGTTTTAGTTTTATTTGACAAACCTAGCCTGAAACCCTGTAGCTACTAAAATTTCTTGTTTATTTATAATTATTTATTTAAATTTATGATTTATAATTTATAATTCATGTAACAATTTTTTTGTTTGTTTTGTTTCTAAAAAAATTTCAAGAATTGACAGAAAACACAAAGGATCGTATAAGCCTTTAACTGGAGATTTAAAAAAATTAGAAATATAAGCAGCAGCAAAACCATTTTTTAACACAGGTAGGGTGTGGTGACAAACTGTCATATAAGCATGACTAACACTGCACACATTCACACAAAAATAATCAGTTGCAAAGACCGTGCACAAGGACCTAACTCTTCAAATATTCCTGTTTTGCAGTTTTCCCAGCTCTCAGCATCAAACATGGTCTCTGATGTTTTCTGTTCTAACTTGTACTTGAAAACATCTCTCTATCCTCTGCCATTCTTCTTCTTATCTTTTCCTCTTGTATCTCCTCCCATCTGTTTCCCACGCCTCCCCTGTCACCTCACACATCCTCCCATCCCCTCTGTTTCTCCTCTTCTGTCCCTCTTTACATCTTCTTATTGTTTCTGTGGCTGTTTAATGTGTTTGCATCACATCACAGACAATAGACTATTACTATAAAGAAACTCCCTACTGGTAAAAACTGCACACGATAGCCTTATAGTGGTAATTACCAGTAGGATATGCTAGACTGAATTATTTTGGATGTGAGCATTTAAGTGACTTAAGCAAACTATTGTTTCTAATCTCCTCTGCATTTTGCATATTGTGACAATGCGCCACTTGTCTTTTTCCTAATCCTCCTCCAATCTTCCCTCATCTCCCTCCCTTACGGATCATGCTCTCCAGTTTCATCAGCAGGTACAGGAAGCCAGGGTAACTGATGGTCAGGTCAGGCTCTGTGTATCGCAGTCCAACCAGCTGCATCACCAAATCATCCACCATGATGCCTGAAGTAGAGACAGACTTAGATCAGAATAAATCACTATTTTCAACAGGTGCAGTGACAATGGGCAAGGACATTTTCTCTTGTGAGAAAATATTAAAAATTCACATATTTATAGGCATCTGCCAGCCTGTTGTAAATGTGCTTACTGTTCAGTTCAGTTTACTTTCCAAAATGTTACCAAACAGAAAAGAAAACAGAGGAGGAAAGAGTGTTATGAGTAGTACTAATCCCCTCTCGATATTTTGCTGACTTAGTGTTTTACTTGAGTGGAAGTAAAGATTTAATCAAGCATTTACTTGATCAAAAGCAAAAAAAAGCAATTTAAAATGAATTCTTATTGATTGCCTTATTAGAGGTGAACCCAGTGATGAAAGGGATTTTTATGATTTCAAAGGGCTGCTAGGACAAAGTTCACACTAAATTTTTTAAGCGTAAACACCAATAGAGAAAGGCCAGAATACTCTTTACTGACTGACATGTCGGTGTCTGCACACACGGTTATCCAGCCTTTGTATTGGATTTGATGTAACCTGTAGTAAGGTTTCATACCCTACCAGTTTAAACTTGATTATTCCATGCATAATCTGAATAATCCAAACAATTATCAAAAAACTATTTTCAATCATGCTCAATTGAGAAACATGAAAAATGCAGATTGATGATCTAATTCAAACACTTCAGTATAATATGTGACTATATCTTTAATGTGGTGAAACCAAAGTAAACAACACAAGTTCCCCCCGCCTTATTAAAGAACCATCTTAAAAAGCAGAGGAAGAGGTAAAGAGAGGTGGTTTGGCTCCCCCTGTTGGCCAAATTGTTCTTGACAGATATGGAGCCTGAGCACTAAAATCATGCACATGTGTGACACATGAGCTGCTAGAAACAGCTCAGAAATGTTTAAAGTGTGATTGAAGTCCATGTTTATTTATGTCACTGTGTGTTCTCAGTCCTACCTGCTGCCTTCAGAGCAGGAGCGACTTCTTGATACTCGAGGCGCTGGGTTTTGTTCTTGTCAAACACCAGGAAGATATCCTGAGGAGAGATTAAACACAGCATACTGAGTGCATGAAAAACTGCCACGCTCTGACATAATATCTGACAAGACAAGTTCAAGTTTGTGGTCCTGTGGTGCATTTGTGGTTGGAGCTGTGTGAAAACTTGAAATTCAACTATGGCAACCTATGAATGTTAAATGTTTAAACTACATCATGTTTTACTAACTACATTGCTGCTAAGTAATGGAAAGATTTTTGTCAACATTAATTTTGTCTAGTTTTTGACCAGTGAATATGTTCAGTATGCTACAGTGTTTAAATAATTTCTGTAATGCAAATTTGTTGAGTTTTTGTGTTCACTTGATGGATTTTTGATAATCTTCTGAGCAACATACGAGTACAGCATGGATGGCTTTTATCCAGAACAATGACTTGTAACATGGCAGTGTTGTTGTTGTGCAGTCCCCAATACACAGCATCACAATGTTCACAGTACACAGATAAACACAGAGGGATTAGAAAAAGAAAAGTCAGAAAACAGAAAAAAAAAAAAACATGCTGGAAACACTGACACCATTTGATAAATTGTCCCTCAACCAATTTTCTGATTCACACACAACCACTCTGAACATCTATTCTATATTGTTTTTGATGATTTCAGCCATGTTGACTGATTTGAGTCATGTTTTTTAAATTGATGTTACTGTTGTGGAATGTTGATGTTGATGAGCTTACCGTCCATCTCCTGATCTTGTCCCACATACTCTGGAACTCTGGCCAGTTTAGCTGGGCGTTGCCCTGGGTCTGGATAAAACACTGAGGTCAAGGAAATTAACCAGACCAACCAATAGACCTCAACAGTTCTCATTCATTCAGTGCTTTGTGTTTTTTTTGTGTGTGCTTTTTCAAGGATACATCCATGAGGACCACCAGGCTCTTGCAGTGCTCCAGAGCCAGGTTCTTCTCACTGCCGGCCAACACTGAAGACAACAAGTAACATCATCAGTGGACATTTTAACATGCATAACATTACATTAAATCATGATGATGTGAGATGATGAGATGAGATGTTACTAAAGTGTTTTTAAAGCATGACGGTGAGCCTGTTTTCTAATTAACGGCCTTGATTTGCATACTGCTAGTTGTAGATTGCATGTTAAGGCAGGGGTGGGGTCAGCAGCTCTACCAAGCAATTAGTGTCATGAATACTTACATTGTTATGATTAATTAACCCCAAATAGCCTATTTCAGATAGGTGGGCGTGTTCCCTCTGAAACACTGAACTGTCTGTCACCATCTTTGATCTCCTCAGCTAATCCTAACCTGAAACTTCAAGAACACATTTGCCATGAAACTTAAGGCAAGTGCTCTAAAAAGATCAAAACAACAAAAAATACATTTTTACTCATCTAAAGACATACGTTTAAGGCGGCAGACTGAAGGATATAGATTTGGCCTCAGCTTCGCAGATACATCAGATTAAAAAATAGATGGAGTGATTGCAACAAACCAATCAGCTCCGGTTTTAACTGTTTTTTATTGGAGCAGCTGTAGATGTCTGTGGTATAACATGACTCCAGATTAATCCCTGTAAAACGTGATACTAAAATCAAAAGAGAAACCCTCTGTAGAAATATCAAAATCAGACATTATTTTATTATGACTTTTTGACTTGTGACTCCTCACTAAAGGAATTCAATCATTGAAAACAATCTCCTGATGAAAGAAACACGACCGGACGCGTCTATTATTCCACCCAAGATAACAGAGAGAGACATCACTGACCTCCTCCCTGTATGGCCTCAGTCAGGAGTCTGTGGAGGTGCACTGGTTTGCAAACCCCATTCTGATGACACAAACCAGGAAACATTCACAACACAAGACATAACGGTCATTGTAGCACTCACACAGACACTCGTCTTCATACATCCATATTCAAAACACAGGCAGACTTTTGTGGTTTAAACCAGTAACTGCACATGAGGCTGGGGTTTACCACCCAGAGCAGGACTGACAACTGCCATTTAGTTCAGGGAACACATTTTTAATGAATTCTTGTGATTGTCTAATCTGTGTGGGAATGAAGGTGTTTTCCAGTGCTGCAAACATCCATATGGCACTTAAAGTAGGTTAAAGTTCAAAACTATGTGCAGATGTTAGTCAAGCCAGCTCTGTTTTTGATGTACAGCAGCTGCATGGAGGTAAATCTCACCTTGTTGCAGTGCTTCTGGAACAGCTGTCTGGTAGATTTAAGAGCAGGAAGAGCGGCCTGGTGAGGAAATGAAGGCTGCAGAAAGAAAATACAGACTGAATTTAAAAACAAGCCTTTAATTTTTTACAAACCAATGCCAACTTCACAACTTTTTAGCTTTGCAGGGTTTTTTTTAAAGAAATGTTTTGAGGCAGAGTCTGGAACTTAAACTAAATCAACCCTCTGTGTGTCAATATGTTGAACATTTCTGTTTTCCTTACCTGAGGTAGAACACATCATTTCATTTTTGACTGCAGGGATTCAATACAAAAGCACTGTTCTGTCACTAGATCAGAATTATAGCAACTTTGTGTGGGGAAAACTTAACATCAAAATCAACAACATTTATTCACCCGTTATCTAAATCATTATTATTATCTGGCATTTATCCCAGCATGCACTGGGTAGGAAGTGGGCACACCTTGAAACAAATCACCAGTCTATCACAGGGCTAACACAGCCTAACAGACAACCATTCACACCTACGGGCTTTTTAGAATCACAAATTAAACTGATCTACATGCCTTTGGACTGTGTGAGGAAACCGGGGGAAGAAGACACACCCGTGTTTACATGCACATAGAGCCTGGATAGCTCAGTCGGTAGAGCATCAGACTTTTAATCTGAGGGTCCAGGGTTCAAGTCCCTGTTCAGGCGATAGTAGTTTTAAGGTGTTGCAATCAGGGGTCACAAAAATGAAAGAACATGTAGTTAGATGGTACCTCAATACAATTACTACAGTACTATACTATGTCTCTATGCACTATACATTTGAGTTGTGACTGTAGTTGGTAAGTAAACGACTTACAGAGTAGAGCTGTGACTAGAGTAAATACACAGCCCAATAGTGAACTTCTATACCATGTACTGAATGTGTTTCCTGTTTTCATCTTCATTTAAAATCTCTCTCACCTGTACAGGGACTTGAACCCTAGACCCTAAAATTAAAAGTATGTTGCTTTAGATGATTTTATAATAAGACATACCACAACACCAATACAACAGAAAAAGTGAATGTATGTCAGAGAATGGAATGTGGTATGCACACACTAGAGCCTGGATAGCTCAGTCGGTAGAGCATCAGACTTTTAATCTGAGGGTCCAGGGTTCAAGTCCCTGTTCAGGCGACAGTAGTTTTAAGATGCTCCGTTGTGGTCACTTCTCTGACTGTTATTTCTAACATCAACTTCCATAGGTGAACAATAACTAATGGTGAATAATGTCTAATTTAACTTGTCTCTTACCTCTGTTATGTAAGAGCTGTCATGTGGCGATGGTTTGTGAGCTGGACTGAAAACAAAGCATTAAAACATATCATCATATCATCATATTTATAATCTCAGATCTTAAAGCCTGAGCTCTGTTAAAAAAAAAAAACCCTCTACCATCATGGTATGAGCATGTTGTTTTGAATCCATGACTCACGTGGCTGCGTTGCCCTGTTCTGTCAGCACCCGGAGGAGAAATGCTCCCTGCTGATTGCGCTCAGCGGTGGAAGGGATGATGACGTAGCGACCTGGTTTAAGGGAGCCACGAAGAACAACTTCCCGACGTGAGGAATAATGAGGGCTGCAGAGGACGGGGGGAGTAGCACGCAGGTCCTCAGAGGACAGGTATTTCTTTGTAGGATGGGCCTGGAGAGAGAGCACAGAATTATAACACATACATGTACCCAATCAGTACTAGCTGCTGAGCTACTGAGCTACTGTTGTCAAGTTCGAAACTCCATCATGAGCAATGACTAAACTTGAATGCCTACCTTTACATTGCCTTCTCTCTTGTTGCTGTCTGCTTCAAGCAATTTAAAAGTTCCCTCGCCTGAACAGGGACTTGAACCCTGGACCCTCAGATTAAAAGTCTGATGCTCTACCGACTGAGCTATCCAGGCCCTAGCACCAGAAGTCCACATATTCCATTCTGTGACTAATATTGACATCTACACTTACTATGAGAAATTTTATAAAAGCACAAATTCTGGGATTTCAGAGGGGAAAAGGATGAATTACAATAACACAACAATATCACTTCAACAGCCACATAGTTAAACAAAGTGAATATTACACTGCTCACTGACTGAAGAGGCTAAATTGGTATTTTAGTCCACAGTGAGGCTCCAGGAAGACTCTTGGAAAACAGATTAATATAGTGTATATACACTATGAATCGGAGACACAACTCTCGAGTCTACATGGGTTTGCTTTGCTACCTGTCTTTCCTCAGACCATCCAACCAAATGCAGGTTAATTTGTGACTGTAAATTGCCCAGGTGTGTGAATGGTTTTCCGTATGTATAAGACGTCTGATAGACTAGTGAACTATTTAAAGGTCTGTGTACTTCCCCATTACCGATGTGGAAAGACCAAACCTCAACGGCAGCAACATGATTTATCTACGTCCGCTTCCTGTCTGTTGCAAGCATCACAAAACTTCTCTCGCCTGAACAGGGACTTGAACCCTGGACCCTCAGATTAAAAGTCTGATGCTCTACCGACTGAGCTATCCAGGCTCTTAAAAGAGCTTTTTACCATGTTCAATTATGTCATTGTTAAATCTACTTGATTACTGGGTCAGTGATTTAGTTTAGGGTTAGGTCAAGGTTAGGGTAAGTTTAAATGGCTATTTGAGGATTAAGACTTGGTTTAAGGATTAGGTGTAGAATTAGGTTTAGGTTAGGTTAGATTGGGGTTAGGCATTCAGCTGTGATGGTGAGAGTTATGGTAAGGGGTTAGGGAAGGTATTATGTCAATGACAAGTCCCCATAAATAAACTACAATGTGTGTGTGTGTTTGTACCTGGTATATATGCAGGGCTATGGCAAGGTCTATGCCTCTACGTCTCTGGTGTTTCTGCATCAGAGCCAAAACAAAGGAGCAGGTCTTATGGGAGTCCGCTCTGCCACTGTCCACCTCCGACAGTACGAGGTAGAACTGAGGGTTCTGCCAATACCAACCTGCACACACACGCACGGTTTTAGTACGGCACTTTTCTTTATATAGTACTACATTAATGACAACTGGTCAGCACAAACACTTACAAATACCTTTTTTATACACAGTAATTTCAAATTAACACAACATACATATGGGAGTTAAGATGTTATCAAGAATGGTCTCTCAGAGCATGATCACAGCTTCTACAAAGACTGAACAAATGTTTGGTGGTGGGGTTTTATTTTTTCAATGTGAAAGCTCCACTGTGTGGACAATAGAGCTGGGAATTGATACCAATGCCATTATCCACATTTTCTTGATCCATTGATTCTTTATCAATTCCTTTATCGATTCCTGTGGATTTTCTGTGTGGAAAAAAGTAGGCCTATACAGGTTTTCAGTGTCAACGACACAAATTTTATTATGAGTTTCTGAACACTGAACAAGTCGATAAGGGAATCGTTAAGCATAAAGGCAAATGATGTCGATGGATGGAACCACTTGGAACCGGTTCTTGACTGGAACCGGCTCTCAATTCCTATCCCTAGTGGAAACCATCTGCTGATTCTATCTGCTGACTTGATTCAGTCAGAGTCAATGGGCAAAAATATATGTAATTAGAAACTGAATTTGAATAATTTATATTTGAATTTGAATTGCTCAGCTTAAATAATTACAATCAACACTGAATTTGGTCCTCAATGAAAATTCAACTCTCTCGTATTTGTATTTATCTGTAGTTGTATCATCATTTGCCTTACCCCCTTGGGGAGAGCCTCCCGCTGTGACACTTGGCACCCAGTTCCCGTGATGCATTACGTAGCTCCACGGCAGCACGCCGGGGCCTGGTTCTCTGAGAGTCTCAGTCAGGTGACACACCTCCATCACCTCAAACTGCTGTCGGAAGTCTGACACTGACATCCTGATTGAAAGAATGAGAAACGGGTAAGTTGAGACATTTCATGTGTATATCACAATATGTTAACAGGCTCAGAGTCAGTAGTGATGTAGCAGTGTTGTAGCAGCTGTGTTTGGGTAGCTTTGTATCACTGTCCATCAAGATGCCACACTGCCTGCCTGTTTCTTTCTGTCTTGCTTTGACAAATGACAATATAACTAGAATTACCACCTCGTGGTTGTATGCCTCCGCCAACCAACCAAGTTGCAGGAAATATGGTCACAAGCTCCTCTTTCTGAGTTACAGCACTGAATAATAGTTTGCAGAACATTATGATGTCACCGTGAAGTTGACCTTTGACCATACCATTTGGGTATAAAATGTCATCATTTTATCTTATTAGACATGTTAAATTGTGTCATAATAAATGTATGAATTTGGGAGTTATGCTCAAAAACGTGTTTTGTGAAGTCACAGTGACCTTTGACCTTTGCCCACCAAATTCTAATCAGTTCATCCTTGAGTCCAGATGAATGTTTGTGCGAGATTTAATGAAATTCCCTCAGGGTGTTCCTCACATATTGCATTAACAAGAATGTGAGTTCACAGTGACCTTGACCCCTACACCACCGAAATCGAATCAATTCATCTTTGAGTCCAAGTGAAAGTTTGTGCCAACTTTGAACAAATTCCCTGGAGGCGTTGCTGAGATAATGCAGTCACTCGAATGGGATATATGGATGTACTGGTGTATGGACAGACAACCCAACAACATAATGCCTCCAGCAAAAGCATGTGTGAAAAAGAAAAAGAGATGTCAAGGTAAGTGGACTTGTTTGCCCTGTTGTTCCTGTTGCCGTGGAGACTTACGTCAGAGTGTTTTGTTTCATGTTTGCAGAAGGCGGACATTAAGATTCAGAATCAGCAGTGATGCATGTCACAGACAGATGTTGCTGATACACAATGACACCACAAACTCACCAGAACTCCCCGTCCTCCCGGCACACTCTCTCCAGTCTTCTCTGCTCCTCAGTGCTCACTGTTCTCCACTCTGGACTGATGAGAGAGACAGACAGAAAAGCAGGGACACTTTTTATCTTTATGCAGTAAAATACTTATTTCCCAATTATACCACTTTGTCAGGAAAACAAAAGGTATTGCGAAGTTGGTTAATACCTTTGTCCCATAACCTCAGAGACATCTTCTGCATTATTGAATTCTATAAGTAAACACAAACAAGTGGAGCTAGGATTTGAGTCAAGACGCATGGACTACAACTTTTGTTCTTTTGATAGACCCAATTTTTTTTAAATTTGATTTTAAAGCCAGACAGAAATAGGTGAGACACATGAGACTGAGAAGGCCTAGACAGGTCAGTGTACATCTACAACCACAAACACACAAACTATCTCAGGTAGTTCTAGAGGGAGAATATCTATCTATCTTGCAGGTAAACTTCAGGTTTTTTTCATTATAACATTTTCATTCCACACTTAACAAAGTCAAGTTATAAAATCAATTTAAAATCTGGCTAATTTTGGCTCATGTAGGTGTGTACCAACCAGGGTAGGAATTTCATGATGGCCACGCCAGCCATGGCCGCCGTTGCCCCTCCACGGCCTCTGTGTCAATGCTACTGCCAAAATCTCAAGGTTGTTTTAAAAGCGTCCCTGGAGCAGTCTTTGCAGCTTGGATTGGTTGTGTGCATATACTAAACTGCTAACTTCTAACTAACTAGTTAACTCTGCTCCGGACGCCAGCATCACTGCTCCCTCTCTCTCTCTCTCACCCGCTACGCACACAACCTACATACTGATCTATTCCTGAAAGGAGCTGCTCTACTCCTGTTACAATAATCTGTCTCAAACTTCGCAAACTCACTACAGCTCTTGCACAGAGACGATAATTCAGTGTAATTAGCTTGTTTGCTTTCTACTGCTGCCTCTTAACGCTTAGTGTGCAAGTTTTGTTTCCACACACGTCTGCGCAGGTGAAGTTGAGTCAAGGACAAGCTCCAGTCCTTGTTAACGGGACAAGGACTGGAGCTTGTCCAATAGTTTTCGATTTTCATGTCATTTGTGTAATTTTCTTGTTTTTTTTTCTCTTATCAGAAAGTCAAGTTACTTAATTGTGCGCATCAAATCACTCAATGGCCTTTTCCCTAAAAACATATGTGACACCGAAGGCCAAATGACCTTGTCCCTAAAATGAGGAAATTCCTGGCCTGGTACCAACCCTTTCAAATCACTCCAGGGCCCCTCCCACTCAGTGTTGCCCCAGGGGTTGAGGATGCGTACCAAATCTACGGTGCCATGTGTTGTCTTCACCTGTCAGAGAAGGAGAAAGAATATGTGAAGCTGTGGTCCAAAAACATATCAAAAGCACGCTGCTATGAGGATTGTTTTTATGATATCAACAATAGTGTTTTTGGAATTTATGTGAAGACATTTCTGATTATGTGTTTTTTCTATTTCTATTTTTTCTATATTTAGGTAAAGTCTGTGAAAATTGCCTGAGTCAAACTCTGTGAGATATACAAAATATGACTCAGCGGACACTTGTTAACATTGTTTAGGGAAAATTACCTTTTCTACTGCAGTCAGAGAGTAGGCATGTCTGAACATGATCCCTAATGCATTCCTTTGCTCCAGAGAGCCCTGGAGGGGAAAACACATCCACCCAGTGAGGACAGAAGTAACAGACAAAATTACATGTCTCATCATATACACATAAGCCTCAGTGCAAACATGTTTTGCTACACTAGTCTAAACAAGCCTAAAACCTCTTTCTTTACCTGTCATGTCGCTAACCTCCTTACTGTACCTTGCTGTTGGCGCAGTTGATGAGTGCTCCTTTAGACAGCAGGTATCTGAGGAAGGCCGGCAGGTCTCTGGACAGCGAGCCAACGTTCAAAACCTCAGCCACACCCCCCGTCATATCAACCATGGCCTCATGAGGGAAGCCCATATCCAGAGCTCTGTAGCCACCTTTCAACCTGTGACAAAGACACAGGGGGGACAAAGACATCAGACATCAACAGGTAAATACCTAGACAAAGGTTTATTAGCCAAAGTTTTATTGAGCATACAAAGGAAATACATTTCCTAAAGAGCACCATAGATAAATAGATGTACAGCTAAACAGATTTAGAGAGACAAAAATAATTAAATCTATTCCGGAAATAAGGAGGTACTTTCCAGTATGTCCGAATCATTTCTGGTGGCATACACTTCTGTTGTGAAGACTAAAGAGGAAGATGAGTCTGACCTCTGTGGTGTTTTTCAAGCAAAGCTTCTGTGGCAACATTTTAATATATGTAGGTGTTTCCATGTTTCATATTTTATCATTAAGATGATTTCTGCCTATACGGTTAGGTACATCATTTCTTTCAGCGTTACATGGGTTTGAATGAAGCAACATTTTAAAAAATTAAGAAAAAGACGCAAAAGATGTTGAGACAACAGTGGAAGCGGTCGGCATGTTTCCCTGTTCTATACTGGGATTATCCTGACAAAACTTGTAAAGTGTCAGTGTGATACATTCTATGCTATGTGCTAAAGTGTATACTATATATAGTATATGTAAATCTGAAAAATAGAGGTTATTATATTGTTTGTGTAGCAGTTATTCTCAGTCTTTTCCATAGGGCAATGTTGACTCCAGGGTGTAGCATGACTGCAAAAAGGCAGAAGAATAGGTGGAAATTAACTGGCATTTGTTTTCAGCCAAGGCGGAGTTGCCTGATGCAATCCAAAACCGGAGAGAAGGATCTGGCAGTATGCCAAACTTTGGGTTGAGGAAGAAAGTGCAGATCTGAATGAACAAGAAAGGGAAGCCATCTTGAATGATGGACAAGGATACTTGACGTACTGTAAATGTCAAATGGATGAGTAATGGCTTTGTAGGGCACTTCTGTTGTTGTTGTTGATGTGCTTAATAAAGGGCAACAGAATGTTTGATAATTTTGTCATTTTATGTGTGGTTTGGTAAAGAAACACTTAATAATTTACTCTGATTATACGATTAAGAACACAGGTAAGTTAAGGTAAGTGCATTTTAAGATAATAAATACAGTTTTAACTATTTCTGCCACACATAAAATGTTGAGGCTATGACATAAAGCAGAGGCTTATTATGTTAATTAATATGTTAATATGGTTTTAACTAACTACTCCTGCCCTCCGCATGTATGCTGAGATTGCTTGCATAGTTAAAATATTTATTAGCCTCTTCAGGTTTACAGTACGAGTAGACACATCAGCTTCTTGTGTCATATGAAAACATGTTCCACATTAAATTCATATGTTTGCACAAAAATACTGTTATACTCTTCAAAGGTAAATTATGTATGAGAAGTGTGTTTGTAAAAAAAAGACAAAGAAAAAGACAGGAAGAGAGGAATCAACAAGCTTAATGTTTTTCTATGAACTGATGTCGCTAGGCTATATGAATGGAGTTTATGCCCTTTTTTGACAGAATTAATGTAATAAATTTGTAAATAAGATACGGTTGCTATCAGAGTTATTGAATCGGTATGTGTCTACACTGATATAGATACCCATNAAAAGAAAAAGACAGGAGGAGAGGAATCAACAAGCTTAATGTTTTTAGATACGGTTGCTATCAGAGTTATTGAATCGGTATATGTCTACACTGATATAGATACCCATGTTATGTGCTACGTAGACACAATAGGCAAAATCAGCATGTATGCCACATTAAAAATATTAATGGTTTATACGTTAAAATGTTGATTAATTACATATAAATCAACAAGAAAAGTGCTTCCAATGGAAGTGTCTACACAACAGACTGTCTCGTAAAAAAAAAAGGTTTATTCTGAGGGTGTTGCCAGAGAAGCATCACTGGCTCATTAAACGAATTTATCTCCTTATGAGAATAAATAATGCACAATCTTCCCATGAGATTTTGAAATTCCTTGTGTACAAGTGGATGTTTCAACTTGACAAATGCCAAAGGGGATCTCCTGTCTGATGAAGTGGCCGTGAGATAATCTTTAGATAATGTGCACACACCAACTGATTGACAAGGACTCACTTGGCATAGGCCTTCTCTAGCAGGGAGCTCCAGAACTCCTGTTTGTCTGGGGAGCTGAGGTAGATCAGTTTGTTGTTCCAAGTCGGCAGCAAGTCGTCTATCCTTACCTCCTCCCACTGCCCGTACTGCCAGAACTACAGCGACAGAGAGGGAGGGATGTTTTTGTCACAATGCTTTCACCAACTCTACAAAGGCCACAAAAGTCCTTAAGAATAAAGAAAATGATTCCTACTCCTATTCACACTATAATTCAAGTTCCTGAGACTGAGAAGCACGGACGTGTTAGGCCGTGTTTAGTTATTTACCCTGAAGGTGAAGCTACCATTGTATCCATCCTGGAAGCTCTGTTCTAGAGGCATGACCTTGCTGAGTAGAGATCGGTGCACAGCGAGAGATGCAATAGCAGAAAGTAACCAGCAGTCATCTACAGAAAGCAGATTTAGGTTATCAGGATTGTGGATCTGCATTTACACACAACACACAAATGGTGCATCCATGTCAGCCTTCAATTTCCCATAGTCCTTTGTGCACTGGACAGTTGTGGTGCATGGTGCATGGAGTCAGAAAATATCATATGACCAAACTGGATTAGACAGGTATTTGTCCTCAGGTGGAAAATACCACCTGAGAAGTCACTGGTAGATAAATCTACTACAGGATGTAAATAATGGGGGTGAGGCTTACTGTTACCTCAATGTTTGTTCTTGTTAGCACCCTGGACAATCACACACAAGGTTTTCATTCTCTGCAATGCCACTGGACCATTGTATTTGTGGAGGACATGAAGGTTCAACCTGGTCTTAAGGTTCTCATAAGGACCTACCTTCATGGGCTGCACCCCACAAAGCATCAGGCCCCTGACTTTGGACACAGGTAATGTTTCAATATAGTTATTTCTAGTAGAATTGTTCTAAGTGGGGACATGGCTGTACAAAGAGAGCTGGAAACAGTGCATCTGTCATCTTTCATCACCTGCAGGTGCATCAGGTTTTATTTATGTACCTATCAATGGATCTGTCACAGACATTCACCCTAATATAATCCCACTTTGTAACAGTGTTAAAATATTGCATGTGATTCAGTTACTTTAGATATAATGTTATATGGCTTTGTTAAACCCCAGTAAACATAAAAGCAACAAAAAAATAACATGAAATATACCATGTGTTTGAATAAAGTGTACCATGTGTTTTGTGGAGTCATCAGAAAATGCTGTATTGTGTAACGATACAGTAGCTGTCCGTCTACTTACTGAGTTTTCCCTGGCAGACATCCAGGCGTGTAGCTCCATTTATTATGAACTGAGGTGATGGACAGAGTTCCTAGGAACAGCAGGGAGTTTGTTGATTGAAGCGACAACAAAAGGAAAGAAATGAGAGAGGGGGTAGAGAGGGAAACAGTCAAATGATAAAAGAGAATTTTGCACCTTTGGAAGGACCATACCAAAGGGAGTGGCAGCTAATTATTAAATCTTAGCTATCAGAACAACATGACATAAACTTGGCACAGTGTCTGTTCTCTTGAATACTCCAACATTGCTGTCTTACCCAGAGTCAGACAGAAGGACTGATCTTAGTTCCATCTCAAAACCTTAATATATATGATTATGACTTAGCCTATCCTATTTATTGTTATAAACAGAGAGGAGATAAGACTTGAAACAATCCAACAACACCATAAACTGCAGCCTCTTAAGTCTCTACAAAAACAGAACATTATAACTTTATTGCAGACTGTTGTATAAGACTTTGCTCATTTCAGTTAGGTGGACTTACAGTAATAAACCTGCAACTGAGAGTAGAGTTTTTGTTTTTGCTGATCGCTGAAACTTGTTTTTCTTGTCCTGTTTTACTCACTTGGAAACTCTATAGAAAGGTTAGTATTAGTAGTGGTATGAAGAATGCATATCAGAGACTCAGTTGTGAAAGTGCAGACTACATAAACTGGAATTACAGCGATCTCAACAGTCAGATATGTTCAAGTACCTTTGATGCATGATTGCACAGAAATTTATAGACTAAAATGAAAAACATGTATAGATTGTGAAATTAAAACACATGTTGAAATGACTGCAGATAAAAAGTGAGGATGATAATTCTGCAAACTGCAACCGATAAACTACAAAGTTAATTCAGTCACACTCTCTGTGGGATTTTACTCTGTCAAGCCAACATAACACACAAAGAAATCAAACAATATTTTATCATGCACCCAGTGAACAATATAAAACAGGTTTCTACAGTCACTGTGTGTATACGGCATCAATGTGAATGTTTTGTACGTGCGTGGGTAACAGTCCACAGTACCAGCTAAACAGCACTGATGTATCCTGGAGATGAACTAGCTGGTGAATAAGGTGTCAAGCTACAGCTATTGACAACTCACTTAGTAAACCTGTGTTCCTGCTGCTCTGTATCGCTCTCGGTCCTCCTGCTGTCTCAACGAGAAGAAAGTACCATAAAGGCATTGGATGCCCAAGTTTAAGAAAATCATTTAAATACCTAAATATGTCCTCTAATCCACAGGACTCACACCTTTGACTGACTTTTGGAATCCTGTGAACCCAAACAGTTTCCCACACTGCAGAGCAGGGGTGGGCATGATTAATCGATGATCAATAACGTGGAATCTGATTGATCTAACGTGTGTATCAACGAGGTTGTGTTGTGCAGTGTGTCTTGAAGCACTGCAATGAATTTCACTACGTGGCTGCAACCAGCCGGGGCGCAATTTAAATTGTCAACAGAGGAAAATGAATAGTCAGCTGGGCCGCCGTAGGCATCGCAGATAAACATGAAGAGAGCCAGGCGAAGTTTGGTGTGGGAACACTTCGAGCTAAAATAACGAAGTTAAATAATGAAGCTCATTGTAAACACTGCAATGCCCTGTATGAGCGCCGTAGCTTTGGCTTGTTATTTGTGAAGAGGTTTGGCTCAGTGCCTCGGGCTCCGCTGTCATTAGGAGCGCCGCACATCTTTTTGTTCTGTTTAATAGTTAAACAATAAAACTTTAACTGCCTTTGTGTAATTGTTGGACTATAATTTCTTCTCGGAATAAGGATTGCATTGAGGAAAAAGACGCTTTCTTTAGTATTTTCTGCCATAAGCGCTTTTTAATTTTAAAAAAATGAATAATGAATCGATAACTGATCGTTTATTTTCCCGATGATCGAATAAGGAAATTTCTTATTTTTCAAGTGAAAATTTCTTCAAGTGCCCATCCCTACTGCAGAGATACTTGGCTTTGGGTCAGTAGCAGAAGGGAAGACTGACTGTGTTGTGTGTTACAATCGCAATCACGAATCACAATCATTGAGGAGAAAGCCGAAGTAATCCGGTCTGACACTGCAGAGGACAAAATATGTCTCCTCTGTGTGCACTGGCCCTTTAGTTTTTCATTGCTTTAGTAAAATAACTTTTGAGTGAAAGTGAAACAAGTACGCAGGGTAAAGGGTTATCAGTCTAACACTTAAGCTATAAATGCAACCCACGTGAAGCCTGTAAGGCTTCATTATTGTTGAGTGTGAGACAGAGAGTTTTCGATTTCAATCAGAAAGTGTGAGACTGTATTACACTGTAATTGTAAAGCGTTCTTGTTGTTTTGTCCACCCCCAGCACATTAAGTTACACAGCAAATAGAAAAAATATTCACTAAACCTAAAACATTTCACATATTACACAATCTGGAGCACATTGTAAAAATGTACTATTGCTCTATCACAAATAAGAGTGGACAGTTCAGTGGCAATGAAACAATAAAATAAAACTGAGCTGCCAATTGCATTCTACTTTGCCCCACTTGTAACCCTAAATAATAGCCTTCATTCCAGCACTGCTACTTAGAGGAGCTGTTTTAATTTCATGTAGAGATGTCTTCAGTTGATGTCACTTATATTTACTCAACACAGGCCTTGGGTAAATATACCAGCAGGTTTTGTCTTATCCCTTACTCTGTCCTACCTTGCCCTAATTCAAGAGAAGTGTCTGTGAATGGACAAAGCATTCCTCTTTTTCATTTAATCATTTTTTGGGAGCATTTTTATGCCTGTATTTGATAGCAGCAGTGAATACAGACAGGAAATGTGGGGAAAGAGAGTGGGGGAATGACATGCAGCAAATGGCCCAGCTGGTCGGGAGTTGCGCCAGGGACTAGCTGCCCAGGGCATTTACCCCCATGTGGTACACGCCCTAACCACTTTCACTCCTGTTGCCCTGCAGGCCTTTGTTTGTCTTCTTTATAGCGCCACGTGATTTCTTTGAAACACATTACAGTGACTGTCCAGAGGACAAAAATGGAGGTAGCCTGGCCAGTTAGCCCGTCTGCCACAAACTGATAATTATAAATGTTATGTCATGTCTTGCTCACAGAGGGATTCAAATGTGATTAAATGATATTAAATTTGAATTTATAGGGCTGTAAAGTCTGCTTTCAGCTTCAACATCCTCATGGAAATTGTTTTAAACTATACATTACCTACAGTGTTTAACTTTGAGATTCTTAAAACAGACATACAGTTTGTTTATGTTTGAATCCCTGAGGGAATGACAACATTATTGCTGTTATATTGTGAGGACATAATAGTGAGCCAAGTATTTAGACATGATCACTTATGACATCACACTGGTGGCCTAGGAGTTGAAAGAACCATTTTTTATGAGATATTGGATCATTTGAACATATATTGAAATGCAACCATGTGAGAAGTAAAGTCAATATTCGGTGGAGCTGTTAACAACTCATACATCTGAAATGTCACCCAGATTAAACACTGAGTTTTGTAAGATGAGAAGTCAAAGTAGTGGAGTGGAAGTAAAGTAGCTTATAATGGGAATACACAAGTAAAGTGCCCTGCTTAAAGTACTTTTAATCACTAGAGGAAAAGAGTTAAACTGTAAATGTGACCATGTTACTCAGTAATGAGTGTTTTATAAGTACTTTATATGTGGACTTAGTTTTATCAGAAACAAAGATCTGGTTTATTTACAGAAATAAAGGATTACTTTAATCATTCAATTTTGTCATTCCTTATCTCACTAAAAAAGTTTGATATTTATGTCCTACTACATATTCTTTTCTACAGTGGAGTACAACTATTTCCAGTATACTCATTTTGTGCAACTGTCTATTCTGTGTGCCTGATGTTTTAGAGGGTAATATTACCACTACATTTATCTGACAACTGTAGTTACTTAGCAGATTAAGATTCACATGCAAAACGTGATAATCTCATAAATTATTAAGTATTACCATAAAATAAACTATTCAAGAGCGACTGTGAAAGAAGTACTCATATCTAACTTCAGTAAAAGTAGCAAGCCACAAACATACTGGTCAGTGGTAAAAAAAAAAAAAACTAACAAAAAACAAACGCTGCACTCAAATCTTTACTCAAGTAAAAGAAGCGAAGTGAAAGTACTTGTTGGAGAGTGTATTATTATGTATTGCATGTATGTATATATTAGTTATTGAAATATTATTACTGTTTCATTAGAGGATTTAGAGCTAATTTGAATTACCTCATCGCCTATACTGTTTGGTACTTTCATCTCTAATGATGCATCATATTTTATAAGTTGATTATAAGTTTTACATGAACAACTGTAATTTGCAAGGTCATTTCTGAACTACAAAAGCACTCAGATAGAATTCCTGTGTCAAACAACAAACACCAGACTTTAGAGGATAAACAAATTCAAATTCATTTTCACATCACTTATTGCATGATCAGACTGACAAACAAACAAACAAACAAACAAACAAACAGATATTTAAGGTTTAGTTTTCATCTTGTCTTTACCTTCGGTCGTTTCCACGTGACCCCGGAGTGCATCTCTAGCTCTCCCAGGGGAAAGTGATAGTCCACGAACAGTCCGTCCCGGCCGATCGTGTTGACGTCCACGCTGTCCGGAGGCAGATCCTGGTTCACGAGATCCGCCAGCCAGCGGCGGGACTGAGAGCCCAGCAGCTCGTCAGAGCAGACCGACTCCACATCGTCCTCCGACGGAGGGAGGGAGCACTCAGACGACAAACTCAACGACTTTATCATGTCAAATCCAATATGTCCTCTACTCTACTGAGACCTCGGTGCTCTGAACTGAGCTTCGACTTGTCTGTCTAGCTGTCACATAATAAATCCACAGAGGCCACGCCCTCTGGGAAAGGTACACAGACAGATTCTCACCTGAGCGGAGGATGTGGGAGGACGGTGCTGCGGGGGGATCCAGACGCATCCAGACGCATCATGGTGCTGCCACGTTCTCAAAACAAAACCTTTGTGTCTCAACGTTTTGTGCAGATTTTGCAACCACTGAACAGAGCCACGTTGTCCATTCTTAATGCTAAGACAATGAGTGATATCAATCTTATCATCTAACTCTAGTTTAAAGCAAGTAAACATATTTCCCAAAATGTCGAACTACTCCTTTAAATTATTAGTTAAGTGTAATAACTACATTGTAACAACTACATTATCTAACAGTGCGCAGTGTTTGATGACAGTGTAGCATAGGTTATGATTCAAATCTATAGTGATTATTAAGACTATATTTACTTGTGTGTATTTTATTCAACTGAGCTGGACTATAGTGAAGTATGTTTCTAATTTTCCCCACTACCTTATATGGTTAAGTGTAGGCAGTACTGGATAACATTAACACATTCATCAACAGAAAACACTTTAGACCCCAGTATCAAAAACTGTTCGTCACCCACGGAAACCAGATGTTGTCATCTGTAGGTGACGAGCAAAGATGAACCAGAAAAATAATTCTGAAATTACATCAAATCCTCCCTAAACTGCCCAGACTCGCTCTAATACGAGGGGATTTCCGTCAGTCTTTGTAGGTGTGGAGAGACCGAAGCCTCGTCATCCTGACTCTCTCTCCTGGCCAGTTACAGCAGCAAAATTCATTTGATCATTTTCCTGGTGGACACCGGACACACAGAGCCCCTGTCATCCCACTGGGCCTGAGAAACATGGGAGCTCACCCATCCCGTTATACATGAAATCACTGCACACTCCACGTAGAGGAAAACACAATGCAACAAGCACTGTTACAATGAACGTGATGACTGATTCATGTCAATATTTCATTTTGCTTAATAGCTGTGTACAGCCAACACCCTGACTTAAATAAACAAGGAAGTTAAATAACTTCTGGGAAGAACTGGCACATTTCCACTGCAAGGAGTTAACATGTTACAACTCATACAACCTGGCAGTAACCATTTTGTTCCCAGAGCAGCACAAAGAACCAAACACACACACAGGCTGTAAATGATAAATTACTTTTATTGAGAAAAGCGTAGTTATGAAAACAAATTATGTGGTTGAATCTGTCACAACTGATGAGTGTGTGTGTGTGTGTGTGTGTATATGTGTGTGTGTGTGTTTGCATCACTGAGATGTGGCCATGATGCTGGATACACCTGTGAAAAGGATGAGAGGTGTAGAGAGAAGTGGAAGACAGAAAGAGACAGAACATCAATCTTTGGCTTCACTTCCAGTCACAGACAGTAAATACAGACAATGTGAAACATCAGACACGGCTGCTCTTCTCTACGAGATCAACCGGCCACTTTTCATCTACGTGAATGTTATGATCTTGTCTCAGTTGATTCATCGTCTGGTATATTTCTGCTCAGCAACACTCACTCTCAAAGTCGATCTTCTCCACGATGTTCTTGGGCTTGACGCTCTCCTCCTGGTTGAAGATGAAGATCTGTCCATCCTCGTTCTCCGTCCAGCCGTACTTATTCATCCAGACCTTCACCTGTGTGTCTGCACAAACAGAGTGTCTGTTAGGATTGTCGCTGTGCACTCAGTGCTCTCCTGTGCTCTATTATTCATATAAAATATAAAGGACTGATTAGTGGAGCTTTAAAGTTAAATCGGATCATCTTTTCTTAGTATGAAGGTTCTATCGCTGTTGAGTTACCGTCTTCTCAAGACTCACTGAACTACACACACGTCCAACGTACACTATCAATCAAGAGTTTTACAACATCCTATTTTTACAGTTTTTATTGAAACTTCACAGTTTGAGTCCAGTGAATAACCTGAGGTGGTCCAAAGTTAAAGTGGGAAACTGCCACGGGTATAAAAAAAAAAAAAAGAAAAAAAAAAAAGTTGAGGTCTTTAAAAAGTACATTTCAAAGTTCCGTCTATATCTATATAAAGTAATAGGTTAACAACTAAAAGTTTCTCTGCAGCAGTGAAAGTAAATTAAACCTTGAAAGTTCATGTAAAAGTGTGTTCCTTGCTTTTATATGATACCACATAGACGTGACGGGACACGGAGGCGTTTTATTGTCTTAAAGACTCAGCTCACTGACTCTGTGGCAGGTTTGTGTTCTTCTAGACTGGGGTCTAAGTTCTTACCCAGCGGGTCTCCCAGCATCTCAGCCAGTAACCGGTGCTCGATGGTCTGGTAGGTGATGCCCACTACATGGCAAATGACTGAAGAAGAAGAATCAAACAACAGATAACGTTAAAGTCTTGATAGAGTTTAAACAAAAGACTCGTCTTGTTCATATAATATGCTTCTTCTCAACTGGGGTGTGGTTTTTTTTTTTGTCCTGGCCGTTGGATGAGACCACCTGCTTGTATTGACTGTAAGGATTTCTGTCCACTGCGATTCATACAATGATACTCACACTTGCGAACAGAGTCCTCGAAACCAGTAATGCCGTCGATGAGCTCTCTGTTCTCCTCAAGACTCGTCTGTCATCAAGGCAGAGAAGAAGACATGATTAATTGATGTCAAATAAACAAACCGTCGCACAGGTTTGGGAAAGATGACAAATGCAAAAGGCATCAGGACAAGAAGAAGAGAGATGTTGCAATAAGGAAATCAAGGAGTTCCTGGGCTGATCAGCAGGAATGCCATTAAATGATGGATTAGTTACTTAGTTTATCCCAGATACACCAGATTAAAGAACACAGACACTGTTAGGCTTGTGTCGTTTCATTTAGTGGCAGAATAATTACATTTCCTTTGGTATAAAAACAAGAGCTATCAACATTATTAAAATGTAGATACTCAAAAAAAAAAAGAAAAAAAAAGAACTGGGTGTCAGCTGTGTTAATGTATTAACATGTCGTCGAGTGTCTTCAGGCTACGTGGTTATTATTTTCTGCACATCCACCTAATGTCACCACATGACGGTTTCCTCGTGACCCAACTGCTACATGTCTTTAAACACAGTCCATTCAAACAATCAATCAATTAATAAATCCAGCTTTCTGATCATTAACAGATCAGAAATTGTGAGCAGTTTCCCTACTGTTGTCATTCTGTGTCTCCAGTGTAATGTACTTTTGTAAAGAGCTTTTCCTTATCTAGACTGAGGCAGCCAGTGTGTGTGTGTGTGTGTGTGTGTGTGTGTGTGTGTGTGTGTGTGTGTGTGTCGTACCCAGAAGCTCTGGAAGTGGCATGTCTCCAGCAGGTTCCCCAGGTAGAGGATCTGTCTGATGGGGCGTTCCTCTTGCTGCGACACTGTAGTCAAGGAAACACCCCGACCCCCAAGACACACCCCTTCAGACCAATAGCCCCCACCCCCCCCCCCCCGGCCAAGAGACGCTGGCTCACTAACAGTTTTCGTCTACTTCTTATATTTCTAATCGTGTCATTGACAGATGTGGATAGACTCCAGGTAAGGAGAAGTCTCCATGTAAATAAGGCTTCACAGAAAAATCATTTAGAGGGGCGCCCGGTGGCTCACCCTGCCATCAGGGCTCAGTCCTACCTGCGGCGGCGCTGGGTTCCAGTCCAACCGGTGACCCCCTCTGCTGCATGTCATCCCCTCTCGCTCCCTGACTTTCCTGTTTCTCTCTCTCACTCAAGCGCGACTTTAAAACTCGGCCTGAGCGCGACTGTAAGATGACATCACTGTAGATAGATGAACAGGCACCAAAAGGATACGTGTGTCTGGTCGATCATGCACTTGCAGAGAGTGAAGTCGGTGTGTGGCAGGTTGGTCAGAGCCTTCAGCAGAATCTGTGAGGTCACCTGAGTCTGGAAGTAGGCGGGGTTAAACTGGTACCTGCAGAGGGACAGAAGTAATGATTACAGCTTTCTTCACTGTGTATTTCACTCCATAATTTTGTTCAGCTCAACTCTTTTTCTGGTCTAGAGTGGAAACTATTATTTGCATCATGAATGTTAAATGTTACTTTAACTTGTTTCTTTCATCCTTGCTTTGGTGAGTAAGTATGAAAACTGTACTGGAAACATACAGAAGAAACTAACGGCAACAGAAAATAGTTAGACACAAACACAACCCTTTACTGTTGATGCCAAAAATATCACACTCAAACCGATCAGATGTTCAGTCATTGAAAAGGTGAAGAAAACTAATTAATCACAACAAAACTTTCACCCAACATTCGGGTTCCTCTGACAGTGCACAGCATGTCTTAAAAGAAGCTCCCGTTAACTCTCAGTGACTGGTCGGTCAAACGAACTCTCCTGAGTCAGCTAACGTTATTTGCCTGTGTTTGAATGACGTCTGCTGTTGGGTTCCCGCACAGTGACAGTGTAACTTACAGCTTCAGGACAGCAAGGTTGGCTTCCAGGTCGTAGGAATTTTCTCTAGCTTGCGTCTCCACATAGCGCTCCAGCGTTGCAAGGTTTTCTGGGTTGTACCTGAGAGGAGACACAAGAGGAGACTGTTACCTACAGTATGGATCAAGTGTTTCTGTTATTAAGAGATTTATTCTGCACTGCAGGGCAGACGATTACTTCCACCTTTTCATTTAACCAAATGTGGTTAAATCCCATGCAAAGCAGTCACTGTAAAGTTTAAAACCATGTACGTTAGGGATGAAGATAAGTGAAGGATTAAATCTTGATCACTTTAATTAGTAGCAGACAATTAACTATACAGTTGCTCTCAGTACTAAGACGAGAAATACTGTAGGACTGAATAAATTGTCGATATATAATCAAAATCACAATATCCATATCACAAGAGCTGCAATTTTTTTTGATAAAGATAAAATGTGTCACAACATGCCATAAATGAAGCGTTGTGGTGCTAGAGAGACGCCCTGGCCTACAAATCATATTCGGTTGTTTG